CCCTACCTTATTTGTGTACTAGCTTAGCCGTTCTCCCCCCCCGTCGTTGAATTGATGTCACCGATCAAATCGCTACAGGGAGTAAAGTTCTTGAAGAAACACTATCTCAGCAGTTCCTACAACCGACCTGGCTTAATTGTGCTTATTACTCGGCCCATGTCCTCGAACCTTCGTCTTCTTTGGGGGATGATGAAAACGATAAGATATCTGGACCTCAAATCTTTGCCCATGTACTTATTACTGTAACAGAGACAAATAATTGCTAACCTTCAGAGTAGGGTAGAGATTCCGAAACCCTCCTGGAGGAAGGTTGGGCGAGCCTGTAACAAATTTGACGAACGCTCTTCTTTCTCTTCCGTTAAAGCTGACAAGTACGTTGAGCAGAAGAAGGTAGGCTGGTGAACTCCGTGTGTATCCAGCGACTGGCTCAAATACACTGAGTAATTCATCGAGTGTCCATGGGACTGGGATGGTGTCTTCCCCGGCAATTAGTCTCCCCAGCTCTCTCGGCCTGAATATCGACAGAGTTTCAATTGGGAAAACCATGTTGAATCCGCCTGAAATGTATAGTTGAAACCTGAGTCCTGCAGGTTAACCTTTCCCACTATAAAAGCATTTAAATGATCCCCACTTGATTTTTTTCTTCTTTTCCTGGTTAACTAGTGACGTACACAATGGTACCATCCTCCTGGATAAGTCATATTTGCTGTCAACTCTTACTCGCTTTCCAAACAACCGTACATAATGAGATAAGTTCTACTGCCTCACTGATTGTAATGCTCCTGAATGTGCAGGGTGAGGGGTAATTCTCATCATTTACGTTCAAGTTCTGGAAGGTAACAACTCCAAAAATTCAAGAGTTTTAAACGACCGTGGGCTTTAGCAGGTGCAACAATAATTTTATTAGGTGACACTTTGTAGCGTAAATGTGGTCGGAGCAGTACGTGACAGGGCTATTATTCGCAGTCAAGGCTTCTTTTATAACCGCCATGTGATAGATACCTCAGGATAACAGTAGGTACCACCACTACCAAGGCGTCAGATGTTTAATTAAATTACCCATCTTCCGTATGCATCCTTTGGTAGTATTCACAGTAGCTTTCTTTATTGTTTATTCGAGTGGGTTATGATTTACAACCAGAATGCAAGTCGGGTTACCGTCACCCCTGTATATGCCTCCAGCGGTTGAATTCTAACGCATAAATTATGGAGCCGATCTTGCAGACGGCCACTCCCAGGGGTTATTCTGGCCGAAAAATAAGTTACTAGAGTAAAGGAGGGCAAGTCGGGGTATCCTAATTTATGCATATTAGTTTTCGTGATACTCATGGCAGCGTCATGTCTAGAGTTAGAAGTACAGAACAGAAATGGGTTGTTTCGGCGAGTCTCGATTAAACGAGTCAAGAAAACTCACGCTTGAAGGCTTCCATCTGCCGCCGGATGCCCTTGTCCATGGCGAATGAGACGGTCCGATGAATGTACGTCTCGAGGTTTTCAGTAGTTATTAGTGGCGACTCGCAGTCCTCATTGATTACGAAGTTGGCATTAGTTGTTGCGCCCTCCAGGGTTTCCCATTCGTAGTTATCTCGTAGTGGGAAAGAGTTGACGCCAAACGTCTGAAACACAGCGGAAAAGGTAAATCGATCATTCCAAGTTCCTAAGGCCAATCGTCCATCTTCAGCGTTCATTAATCATGTTCTCCAGAGCCCTTATTAAGTGCCATCACGTATACACCATGCCAGCAGTATGATTCAAAGGGGATCATCTGATCAATGTTTGCATGCATTTTCTGGGAAATCTATTTTTACCAAATGGTGTCCTATGGGACGAACGTGGTTGCTTACCTGTTGAACCTTTGGCCGAATTGTAAACTTAAGCCTGCTAATAGCCAAATAACTTAAAAACGGCTAATCGGGGAGCTGGACCACTTGCTTCTCTGGTTCGCTTTTCCAAGGCTAGTTGTAAATGTTGAAACAGTTCCCTGTGCGGCTGACCGAGAGGATACCGTGTTTACTATGCGCATTTAGCGGCGACTCTTTGCAAATACCGCCATCTTAGAATACCGTGCTGGCCTGTCAGAGTAGGTAATAACATATCATGAAAAGCCCGGTGTTACCGTTCGCGCACTCCATTTTTATTGTCAGTCCATAAATTGATTCTCAGTATTTAATCACTGCTACGTGGTGATTGGGAAATTTATCCCTGGGGTTCGGATTCCCCAGTGAAGTCGAGCGTGAATCTTGCAGGTTTGTACTTTATCCGATGACTCAATACCCTCCTGTGAGTCTTCAAGGCCCAAATGACAGGACCTGCATTGTTCCTTGCGTGTGACCGCTTTAACAACCTCTGGGAGTTTTTCTCAAAACCTTAAATTTTGAAGGAGTCCATTTTTGATAACCATGGATACTCAGTCAGATAAACGTTTAAATCTTTGAAATTTGTTTCTTTTTTTCTATACCACACAGGCGTAACCTTTGCAACTACTTAATCCAAATACAAGGGGCCTCAAACTCGATTTGCTTCCGGGGAAGCGGGAAACGGTTATTATTCAGGTGACATTAGGTATCTACTTCAGTGAAGCTTGGGTCAACTTTCGCAGTGGACTGGCTGCACTAAAATGTCGAAAACATTTTTTCCGGGCAATAGCACCAAGACGTTACCTCCCGATAGGCTAAGAAGTAATCGCACGCTCGTTATTAGCATCTGGTTGTACGTACTGCCGATGGCTAAGGGAGTAAATTCTAGAACAGTGTTAAAACAATACTGCGTTCGTGGAGCTGTCAGACTGGCAATCTAACCTAACTCACAGTGACAGATCGAAGTTAGCAAAAATAATGATAAATTGAGGTCAAACCATGCGCGCTTATTCTTCGGGAATTCGTGGTTCGCTTGTAACAAAGTATACCTCGAATAGTATCCCGTATTCTCCGGAATTCACACCCTCGCAGGTAGCTTCCATTTTCCAAACATCGAAATTGATGCGTCAAAATGCCTGCTAATTATAAACTTTGATGCCAACTATAACCTCCGTCAGTCGTAGAAGTTGGTTGAGGCTTTACTACTGAAGCATACTCTATTATGCATGCCACCTAGATGAAGTCTTTAAAGCCTTATGGTGCCCAAAGGCTTTTTACCTCTACATAGATATATAGATAAGCTGCAGCGAAAACGGGGGAGGTATATTACCGTGCAGATAGCCGGAAACTCCATTGTAAGATACAGGTCGGATAGTTTGGCGGAAAATATGTTCTGCTCCAACTGTTCCACCTGCTCGGTGGTCATAATGTTGGCCCTGCGGTACTTGAGGTAAGTCAGGCAACGTTGGAAGAAGGCACCCTGTTCGGGATACACTTCCGTAAATTCCTTTAGACCTGGAACCCCCGAGGCCATGCTGTCTTCGCCCTTTCCCGACTCTTCGCTCTCCAGCACCGCGTCCTGTGCTAGTTGTCTTGCAGTCAGTAGCTTAAGAAAGCTCTCTGAAAAGGGCAGGTCCATCCTTCTTTCATCCTGTTCAGATAAGCAGAAAACAGTTTGCTCTGGTAATAAAGGCTAAAATGAGCCACCGAAGGATTTTAATAACCATGTGGTATGCCACATTGGCCAGCAGGGTTCTGGGTGTTTTTTTGCGGCGACCGAACATACCGCCAGTACAGTGTACAGGAAGGAAAAAGGGCAGTAGGAGAGCTACTCTGGACGACATTCCGATCTGCCGTCCCCAGTGCAGGTTCACGTTGGCGAGGCCAGTGCGAGAAGGTAAGAGTTCTTCACGTTCTTGCGCTACATTTATCGGTATAATGGAACGTGGGCAAGGCCCTTGTGTCCACATCCATGTTGAGCACCTTAAGTATGTGGTTGAATCTGCATTTGTCGATCACCCATTTACCCGCAATCGGCTGAACATATCGGTGCGTACGGGTGCATTTCGGGTGGGTACATAGGGTGACAGGCTGGTTTCGCTGTCAACTCTACAACTCTGGCATGGTTTGTTGAGCGGCGATGCACTTGAACCGAAAACGCATCGCTGCGCACTGTTGTATGAAGCACCAGTTCCCATAATAATACAAATTTAACAGCGTCGAAGTTTGTTACATTTTTTGCGTTATTTTCGATGAATGCAGACTACAGAAGTGCACACTCGCACACAGCCAAGACGTTTCTGTACGGGTACGCACACACAAACTATCGACAGTTCGAACCCGGATATGAGGCTTTATCAGCTGCTGTCAGCTGAGCTAAATTCGATACTTGCTGCTGGTGTGCAAGGTCAGTCTAGTGTACTGCGCAGTACTGTCTACCGAGTTGTAAGGTAACCACCGCAGAGAGTTCAACCATCGTGAACGACGGAGTCCATCGTCTGCGTCCCACGCAGTGGGCGCCGTATCGTTGGCTTGTGCATGAATTATTTTGTAGTGGGTTTTACTTTCGGTGCATCTACAGCACTCTTGTAGCACCGGCGCCAAGCCTGCAAACCGTCACGTGAATGAGCTCCTCTATCCGCTTCTGGGACAGCCAATCACAGGTTCCGTAGACTGCTATTAGCCG